CCCCCCCCCCCCCCCCCCCCCCCCCCCCCCCCCCCCCCCCCCCCCCCCCCCCCCCCCCCCCCCCCCCCCCCCCCCCCCCCCCCCCCCACCCCCCCCCCCCCCCCCCCCCCCCCCCCCCCCCCCCCCACCCCCCCCCCCCCCCCCCCCCAGGCCCCCCCCCCCCCCCCCCCCCACCCCCCCCCCCCCCCCCCCCCCCCCCCCCCCCCCCCCCCCCCCCCCCCCCCCCCCCCCCCCCCCCCCCCCCCCCCCCCCCCCCCCCCCCCCCCCCCCCCCCCCCCCCCCCCCCCCCCCCAAAACCCCCCCACCCCCCCCCACCCCCCCCCCCCCCCCCCACCCCAACCCCCCCCCCCCCCCCCCCCCCCCCCCCCCCACCCCCCCCCCCCCCCCCCCCCCCCCCCCCCCCCCCCCCCCCCCCCCCCCCCCCCCCCCCCCCCCCCCCCCCCCCCCCCCCCCCCCCCCCCCCCCCCCCCCCCCCCCCCCCCCCCCCCCCCCCCCCCCCCCCACCCCCCCCCCCCCCCCCCACCCCCCCCGGCACCCCCCCCCACACCCCCCCCCCCCCACCCCCCCACCCCCCCCCCCCAGGGCACACCCCACCCCCCCACACCCCCCACACCCCCACCCCCACCCCCCACCCCCCCCCCCCCCCAGGGGCACCCAGGCACCCCCCCAACCCCCCCCCCCCCAGGCCACCCCCCCCCCCCCCCCCCACCTACCCCCCCCCCACCGGGGCCCCCCACCCCCCCCCCCCCCCCGGGGGCCCCCCCACCCCCCCCCCCCCACACACAGGCAAATCACCGCACCGCCCACCCCACCCCCACACACCCCCCCCACCACACCCCACCCCCCCAACCGGCCCCCCCCCCCCCCCACACCCCCCCCACCCCCCCCCCCCACCCCCCCCCAACACAACCCCCCCACCCCACCCCCCACAAGGGGACCCCCAAACCACCCCCCCCACACACCCCCCCCCACCCCCCCCCCCCCCCCCCACTACCCCAACCCCACCCATAAACCACCCCCCCCCACAGGCCCTACACCCCCCCCGCCCACCACACAGGCCTACACAGGCCCCCCCCCCCAGCACACCCCACCCCCCCCCCCACCGGCCCCCCACCCCCCCCCCAGGCCCACACAGGCACCCCCCCCCCCCCAGGCACCCCAAGGCCAGCACCCCCCCCCCCAGGCACCGCACCGGCACACAGGCACCCCCAGCACACCCCCCCCCCAACACACCCCCACCCAGCGGCCCCCACAGGCACCGCAGCGGCACACAGGCACCATACAGGCACCCACCCCCACACCCCACCCACAGGCACCCCCCCCACACAGGCCCCCCGCACCCCCACACCCCCCCCCCCACAGGGCACCCCCCCCGACACACAGGCACCCAGCAGGCACACAGGCACCAAACATACAGGCACCGCACCGGCCCCACGGCACCGCACACAGCGCTACCAGGCCCAGGATGTAGATGGTGATACCTGAACACAGATGGCCCCCCGTCCCTCTGGAGATGGGGGTGGGGAGGTGACCTCTAAAAAAAAGGGGTAATATCCCCATCTCCCAGACCCCCACTCCCCCCCATGGCAGCACCCCCCCCCCCATGAAACAATGTATCTAATGCAATGTTCACATAAGGGGGGGGGTCACATGACCCATCCCCCCCCCCCCTGACCCCCCCCACCCAGATACAATGTATATGAGTCTTCCATTGACCCCCCCCCCCCCTCCCCCTGGACTATCACAGGTGACGGGATAGGTTGAAGGACATGGGGGTGGAGCTGCCATGGCAGGAGGAGGAGGATCCTGTGCCATTCTCTGCGTTTCCCCCAGGAAGTGTGAAGACTCCGCCTTGGGCCGCAGGAGGAACCCCAAGTCCTCCCTGCAGGGGGTCCGATGGAGGTATTTCCGGGGGAATCCCTTAGTCTGTGATCTGACCCCCCCAGGGGGGTCCCGCATTGCTTGTCCGGGGGTCCCCCACCCCCTCGATGTAGCTGATCACCCCCTCCACGTCCCAGGAATTTGCCGCGTATGAGGGCCTAGGGGGAAGATAACAAACTCAGGGCTGTGGTGGCGCTCCCCTGCTTATACTTTCCCTGGTCCCCCCCCATCCCCTCCCCCCCAATAAATGTCATCACATGCCTTGCTGGCATGTCATCACTGGGTCTCTGTGCCCCCCCCTCTATGCAATGCAGACAGATCATGGCTTCCTGAAAGGGGGGGGTACTCCTCTCAATCCTGTTGCAAGCAGTGGGAGGAGTTATGTAAATATCATGGGGGCTTTGATGGGTGGGTATCAGTCTGGAGGGGGGGGGGGGGTTCCTAGGCAAGCTGCCTTTGCAGGTAACACCCCACGTGTGACCTGAACCTCCATGATTGAAAGAACTGGGGGGGGGGGGGGGGGGGGGGAAAGGGGGGGGGGGGGGGGGTACAGGGGGCTGGGGGGTAAAGTGGGGATGATGGGGGAAGTCATCCAGGGGAGATGGGGGGCTCCTATGAATGAAAGGGGGGGGGGGGGGGGGGGGGGGGGGGGGGGGGGGGGGGGGTTTGGGGGGATGATGCTGGAAGCCCTCCAGGGGGGGGGGGGGGGGGGGCTCCTATGAAATGGGGGGGGGGGGGGGGGGGGGGGGGGGCTGGGGGGTAAAGTGCTGGGATGAGGGGGCTGGGGGGGGGGGGAAATGGGGGGGGGGGGGGGGGGGGGGGGGGGGGGTTCTGTGACTCCACCCCTCATTCTGGGGGGGGGGGGGGGGGACCCACAAAGGGGGGGGGGGGGGGGGGGGGGGGGGGGGGGGGGGGGGGGGGGGGGGGGGGGGGGGGGGGGGGGGGGGGGGGGGGGGGGGGGGGGGGGGGGGGGGGGGGGGGGGGGGGGGGGGGGGGGGGGGGGGGGGGGGGGGGGGGGGGGGGGGGGGGGGGGGGGGGGGGGGGGGGGGGGGGGGGGGGGGGGGGGGGGGGGGGGGGGGGGGGGGGGGGGGGGGGGGGGGGGGGGGGGGGGGGGGGGGGGGGGGGGGGGGGGGGGGGGGGGGGGGGGGGGGGGGGGGGGGGGGGGGGGGGGGGGGGGGGGGGGGGGGGGGGGGGGGGGGGGGGGGGGGGGGGGGGGGGGGGGGGGGGGGGGGGGGGGGGGGGGGGGGGGGGGGGGGGGGGGGGGGGGGGGGGGGGGGGGGGGGGGGGGGGGGGGGGGGGGGGGGGGGGGGGGGGGGGGGGGGGGGGGGGGGGGGGGGGGGGGGGGGGGGGGGGGGGGGGGGGGGGGGGGGGGGGGGGGGGGGGGGGGGGGGGGGGGGGGGGGGGGGGGGGGGGGGGGGGGGGGGGGGGGGGGGGGGGGGGGGGGGGGGGGGGGGGGGGGGGGGGGGGGGGGGGGGGGGGGGGGGGGGGGGGGGGGGGGGGGGGGGGGGGGGGGGGGGGGGGGGGGGGGGGGGGGGGGGGGGGGGGGGGGGGGGGGGGGGGGGGGGGGGGGGGGGGGGGGGGGGGGGGGGGGGGGGGGGGGGGGGGGGGGGGGGGGGGGGGGGGGGGGGGGGGGGGGGGGGGGGGGGGGGGGGGGGGGGGGGGGGGGGGGGGGGGGGGGGGGGGGGGGGGGGGGGGGGGGGGGGGGGGGGGGGGGGGGGGGGGGGGGGGGGGGGGGGGGGGGGGGGGGGGGGGGGGGGGGGGGGGGTTTATTTCCTTCGCTCCTCAGTTCCATCTAGTGGTCATAATGTGGCACTACTAATTCCCGTCCTAAACGAACATTCATCCAGAAGGGAAAGAAGTCGACAGAACATTTTTTTTTTTGAATGCTCCAGCAAATGATATTATTATTATTATACAGGATTTATGGCGCCAACAGTGTCCTCAGCGCTGTACATTATGGAGGGAGACAATACAGCAACAATGCAGTTCAATACAAGAGGGTTAGGGAGGGCCTGATCCTGGGAGCTTACAATCTAGGAGAAATATATATATAGGTAAGTATGTCCTCCGCCATTACTGATTGGCTCCCTGGAATCTACACAAACGCTGACCAATCCGACAGTCTATCCTGTTTCTGCTGTCAGTCACCAATGGTAACGGGCTGCAGCTTTGTTGATAGGGAAATCCCGGACGAGCCCCCACGTGTAGCGCTTCCCCCTGTGTTCTTCCCTGGTAGCTGCACCTGCAGCCGGGGTGCGCAGCCTCAGTCACTCTCTCAGTAAACGGGGGGTATCCATTTCTTCGATGCTTTATTGCAGGACTTGGATGGGTGTGGGGGGGGTGGCTGTGGGATATTCCAGCAACATTACGGAGAACTCGAGGACAGTAATAGTCCTCCCTGAGCACAGTCCTCGCAGCAGCAAATAGTGGGCGGAGCTAATATACCAGGACACCGCGAACAATGTCGCCTTTGAGCAACGCTGACACTGAGAGGGATCGCTGCACGTGGTCAGTGGGGTCTGCACTCACCAATGTCCTTGGATAATTGGATGAGTCTTTCTAATATCCTCTGGTCACCTCTCCGTTCTTCAGACCAGATCCCCAAAAAGAAGTCCCTCAGTCGGCTCCAGCAAACCTCAGCAGAATAGCCCCACCCTACCCTCCCCCACCCCCAGTAGATGAGTAGTAGAAACATGGCCGACCTGTCCAAGAAGAAGAGCAGCAGTCCTCCAAATTCAATGAACCCCACTGTTGCAGGCCGCAGGCTATTTATGCTCCCTCCCAGCCACCATCTGGGCACCTCTCCCCCAGGGATTGGCCAGGGCTGCATACCTATTCAGCTGTTGATTTGACTCTCCCAAACCCTACTGATTACAGTCAACCAAGAGCTAAATGTACCTACCCGGGGCTCCTATCTAGGAGGGTGCTAACCTCCACCCCCTGCCAAAAAGAGGCCCTGTCCTCATTGGCCAAGCAAGACAGCTACATATTATATATATTACATCATTACAGTCCAGTCATTTATTAGCACTTGATTTGATAGGCTGAGGACTGATTCAGGAAAAAATGCATCACTCTTGTGAGCACAGCTCATACGAGATAGGTACCCAGAAGTACTTACCGTAGGCAGAGCAGAAAAAAGAGCCAGGCACGCTACGAAAAAGACACACGGTCAGTGTGATCCACAGCATGTCCTCATCCTTCTCCTCTAAAGAGGACCAGAAAATCAGCATTTTCATTGACAGGAAATGGATAGCACAACATTCCCCTATAACAGGGTGCAGGAACTCCCCCATCTGAGTCACCCCTTCTCTCCACCCCCTAGCCACCTCCGAGCACTGTCCTTGGATCCGCCCCCCTACCCCCCTCCGAGCACCGTCCCCTTGGTTCCACCGCCTACCCCACCTCCAAGCACCGTCCCTTGGTTCCGCCCCCTACCCACCTCCGAGCACCATCCTTGATTTCACCCCATACCCACCTCCGAGCACCATCCCTTGATTCCACCCCCTACCCACCTCTGAGCTGCATTCCTTGGTTCCCCTCCCTACCCCCCCCCACCTCCGAGCACTTTCCTTTGGTTCCCCCCTAACCCACCTCTGAGCACCGTCCCTTGATTCCACACCCCCTACCCACCTCTGAGCTGCATTCCTTGGTTCCCCTCCCTATCCCACCTCCGAGCACTTTCCTTTGGTTCCACCCCCTACCCACCTCTGGAGCACCGTCCCCCTTGGTTTCAACCCCCTACCCACGAGCATCGACCCTTGGTTCCACCGCCCCTACCAACCTCCGAGCATCGTCCCTTGGTTCCACCGCTACCCCACCTCCGAGCATCGTCCCTTGGTTCCACCCCCTCCCCCCACCATCCGAGCACCGTCCCTTGGTTCAACCCCCTATCCATCTCTGGGCACACCGTCCCTTTGTTCAACCCCTACCCACAACGCCGAGTACCATCTCCTTGGTTCTGCCCTATTATCCACCTCTGAGCACTGTCCCTTGGTTCCGCTCCATACCCACCTCCGAGCACTGTCCCTTGGTTCCACCCCCTACCCACCTCTGAGCTCTATCCCTTGGTTCCACCCCTACCCACCTTCAAGCACCGTCCCTTGGTTCCACCCCTTACCCACCTCTGAACACTGTCCCTTGGCTCCACCCCTACCCACCTCCGAGCACCGTCCATTTGGTTCCACCCCCTACCCACTCCGAGCACCGTCCCTTGGTTCCACCCCCTACCCACCTCCGAGCACCGTCCCTTGGTTCCACCCCCCTACCCACCTCGAGCACCGTCCCTTGGTTCCACCCCCTACTCCACTCCTTGAGTTCACCCCAACCCACCTCGAGCCCTTGGTTCCACCCCCTACCCACTCCGAGCACCGTCCCTTGGTTCCACCCCCTACCCACCTCCGAGCACCGTCCCTTGGTTCCACCCCCTACCCACCTCCGAGCACCGTCCCTTGGTTCCACCCCCTACCCACCTTCGAGCACCGTCCCTTGGTTCCACCCCCTACCCACCTCCGAGCACCGTCCCTTGGTTCCACCCCCTACCCACCCTCCGAGCACCGTCCCTTGGTTCCAACCCTACCCACTGCAGCGTAGCCAAACAGCCCCTTTGTTGAAGCACTCGAACTACCCACCTCCCGAGCATTTTCCTTGGTTTTTACCCACCTCGAGCACTGTCGAGGCAAACAAAAATAAAACAGGAAATACAGGAAAATGAAGAGCGACGCTGTAAAAAGTAGTCCATTTGACTCCGCTGTTTTTTAAAAAAATTCTAAATCCGCCCAAAAACCTACAGGGAACAGGGTTACCCGGGCCCCCCCCCCCCCCCCAAAAAAAATGTAAAATAAAGATAATCAAAATGATATTTAAAAACAAATATAAACCAATCGATGGTCTTCATTCCTAGTGACAGTTCTGATACAAGAAACACAGGTCCATGGCAAGGTCCTTAAAGATGGCCGCCGTGCATTTCCAGATGTGACGTCAGCTGGAAGTATCACCCTACGCATTTCATCATCAAAAGTCGACATTCTAGGCACTAGCTCCTGAGGACGCCTGCTTTTGATGACGAAACACGTAGGGAGGCACTGCTGACTGGTGACACATTCGGAACCAAAAATGCGGCCATCTTTAACTGCTTCCCGTCCGCAGGAGTAACTGCTATATATATATACGTGCGTGCCAACCCACCCCACGCCGGCGTTCACAGCCTCGGCTGTCAATCATCGGGGTCCCGGCCAGTGATTACCCATTTCCGCCTCGTGATTTGCCGAGAATCTCCGACGGGGAGGGGAACTGTTTGTAAACAACACAGCTCTCTCCCCCCGTCAGCTCCTGCACACTGCTTTGTATGGCTCTGCATATCAGCATGCTCACAGTGAAACACACCCAGCACACAGTTAACCCTTTGATGGCCCCAGATGTTAACCCCTTCCTGCCCAGTGCCATTAGTACAGTGTCAGTGCTTTCTATTAGCACTGATCACTGTATTGGTGTCACTGGGATGTCAGTGACACCAAGTCAGTCCCCCCCCCCCAGTGTCAGAATGCCCACCGCAGTCCCGCTATAAGTCGCTGATCGTCGTCATTACTAGTAAAAATAAAAAAAATTAATTCCCCGTATATCTATCCGCCATTTGTAGGCGCTACAACTGTCACGTAAACCAATTCATTTACACGTATCAGGATTTTTTTTAGCAAAGACACGGAGCGGGATGTCACAGTGAAGCGGAGCGGGATGTCACAGTGAAGACACGGAGCGGGATGTCACAGCGAAGACACGGAGCGGGATGTCACACGGAGCGGGATGTCACAGCGAAGACACGGAGCGGGATGTCACAGCGAAGACACGGAGCGGGATGTCACAGTGAAGACACGGAGCGGGATGTCACAGTGAAGACACGGAGCCGGGATGTCACACACGAAGACACGGAGCAGGAGACATTTTGGATGAAATTTATGATGACATTTTTATTTTTTTATTGGACATGTTTAATAGCAAAAAGTCAAAAAAATATAGTTTTTTTTCTCAAAATTGTCATTTTTTTTTTATAGCGGTACAAATAAAAAAACCGCACAGGCGATCAAATACCACCAGAGCTCAATCTGTGGGAAAAAAGGACGCAAATTTCATTTGGGTGCTGCGTTGCATGACGCGCTGCAATTGTCAGTTACAGTAATGCAGCGCCCATATTGCAAAAAAAGGCCTGGTTAGGAAGGGGGGGGGGGAATCCTCTGGAAGGGGAGGGGTTATCCTCTGGAAGGGGGGGGGTTATTCTCTGACAGGGGAATGGTTATCCTCTAGAAGGGGGGAAATCCCTCTGGAATGGGAAATCCTCTGGAAGGGGAGGGGTTATCCTCTAGGAAGGGGAGGATATCCTCTGGAATGGGAGGGGTTATCCTCTAGAAGGGGAGGGGGTTATCTTCTGGAAAGGGAAGGGTTATCCTCTGGAAGGGGAGGGGTTATCTTCTGGAAAGGGAAGGGGTTATCTTCTGGAAAGGGAAGGGTTATCTTCTGGAAAGGGGAGGGGTTATCTTCTGGAAGGGGAGGGGTTATCTTCTGGAAGGGGGGAAGGGTTATCCTCTGGAAGGGGGAAGGGTTATCCTCTGGAAGGGGGAAGGGGGGAAGGGGTTATCCTCTGGAAGGGGGAAGGGTTATCCTCTGGAAGGGGAGGGGTTAATGAGGGTGTTTTAGGTTTTGAATCACCAAGAGCCCCTCCAGGCACATTCTACAACGAGGCAGAGAGGAAGACGACTTGCATCTCATTTGGTTCATCCCGGCAGCAGAACGAACATTCAATGTTTTCTTCATACCGGTGAGGAGTGCTTTCTATAGAGCGCACCTCTGAGATGGGTGTAATACCTGCCACAGCCAGGAATGTTTGCCCTGATGGGCCTAAGACTTGCACCAGTGTTGCCCGAGTGTCCCATCTCCTTCCCCTCCTGTGTCAGTGTTTGAAGGCCACAAGAAGACCACAAATGGATGGAGGATCCCTTTACTCAGTACATCTACAAACCACAAAGGTCAGTGGCCCGGCACTTACCTACATGTAGGACCTCCGTCCAGGAGCTGTACTTCTCCATCCTCCAGCAGGGCAACTTCCCCACCGCTCTGACCCGCACATGGACCTTGTTGGGGGGCTCCTTCAGATCTTCATTCCAAAAGTTCTGGTCTTTGCCGACTATGATCTTCCCCCCCAGAAGAGAAAGAAGACATTGTGAGGTGAGTGTTTTGCACCTCCATGGTGTGGAGATCTCGGCTCCTTCCTCGGTCTGCCGGCTTCTTACCGTTTCGTTTTTGCCCTTTGACCAGATGTTGATCTGGTAGTTGAAGCAATCGTCCGGCATGGACCCGATGGGCTTCGTCCAGCTCAGGCCTTTGTGCTCCTGTATGCTCAGATTCCACACTGGAGGGATCACTTCTAGGGAACATCAACCAATATCTGTATCAGCACGAGGAGCGATCGGAAAGTCGACTTTTTTACAAAAAATGTTGGAGAGCGTAATGGCCAAAGCAAGGGGGAGCCTTCGAGGAGCCTGTGGGGGAATCTGTCATATGGAGCCGATCCGGAGGATTTCAGGATTGTCATCTTAACTTGCAGAACCGAAAAAATGTGATTCAAGGAGGATGGTTGGGAAAGGGTTAACATCTAGGGGGCGGGGTTACATGTGTGCCTAAGGGGGAGGGGTTACATGTGTGCCTAAGGGGGAGGGGTTACGTGTGTGTGCCCAAGGAGGAGGGGTTACGTGTGTGCCCAAGGGGGAGGGGTTACGTGTGTGCCCAAGGGGGAGGGGTTACGTGTGCGCCCAAGGGGAGGGGTTACATGTGCGCCCAAGGAGGAGGGGTTACACGTGTGGCCAAGGGGAGGGGGTTACATGTGTGCCTAAGGGGGAGGGGTTACATGTGTGCCCAAGGGGGAGGGGTTACATGTGTGCCCAAGGGGGGAGGGGTTACATGTGTGCCCAAGGGGGAGGGGTTACATGTGTGCCCAAGGGGGAGGGGGTTACATGTGTGCCCAAGGGGCAGGGGGGGTGTTACATGTGTGCCTAAGGGGCAGGGGTTACATGTGTGCCTAAGGGGAAGGGGTTACATGTGTGCCTAAGGGGCAGGGGTTACATGTGTGCCTAAGGGGCAGGGTTACATGTGTGCCTAAGGGGCAGGGGTTACATGTGTGCCTAAGGGGCAGGGGTTACATGTGTGCCTAAGGGGCAGGGGTTACATGTGTGCCCAAGGAGGATGGGGGGTTACGTGTGCCTAAGGGGAAGGGGTTAAATGTGTGCCTAAGGGGAAGGGGTTACATGTGTGCCTAAGGTGACTTTCACTGTGTATGTGAATGTGTATCTATGTATGTGAATGTATGTCTATGTATGTTTTCACACGAAGGCGCTACACTTGCTGTGTACAAACTCCGGTTTGCAGCATCTTTGGGGCATGTTTGGGGAGTTAAAAAAAAGCCCCAAAAAACGCCCCTGAGAAGTGGATTTTGGTGCAGTTTTTAAATCACGTGTCCTTTAAAAAACGCAGTGTTGTATCACAAAAAAAATGGCCTGCTCAGGAAGGGGGGAATCCTCTGGAGGGGGGGGAATTCCTCTGGAGGGGGGGGGGGGAATCCTCTGGGGGAGGGGGGTTATATACGCTTTCATGTACAGTCGTGACCGGAGGCCGCCTCTATACCTCTCAGTGTTCCGCCTCCATGTCTCACCTGCCTCCAGAATGTGAAGTACGTGTTCCGTGGCGCGGATCTGCCGGCTCTGGCTGGACCCGTTGATGTGAACCAGGAAGTAGAACAGATCTAACCTGGTGTCACTGAAGAGAGTTCGGCAGCCGATCGATCTCCCCCCTCCCGGCTCCGTCACATAGATGAGGCAATTCTGAGTCCGATACAAATGTCTGCCGAACAAGAGAACATCGATCATTTACAGGAGGAACAGGAGATTCTCTCTTCCTTGCTCTCTCTCTCTCTATATATATATATATATCTCCCTCTCCCCCCCCTTCTCTCTGTCTCCCCCCCTCTCCCTCTCTCTCTCTCTTTCTCCCTCCCCCCCTCTCCACCCCCCCCCCCCCCCCCCCCCCCCCTCCCCCCCCCCCCCCTCTCTCAACCCCCCCCCCTCCCCCCCTCCTCTCTCTCTCCCCCCCCCTCTCCTCCCCCTCCTCCCCCCCCCCCCCTCCCCCCCTCCCCCCCCCCCTCCCCCCTCCCCTCCCTTCCCCCCCCCCTCTCTCCCTACGTTCAGCCTTGGTACAGACACACAAGGGGTCACATACACAGGTTATTACGGCAATTAAAGGGGTTAAATCCCCACATGTGTGGCTTCTTACATTGCAGTCGGTGTATAAATAGTCAGTGAGTCTGTTCGCTCTCACATGGAGGCACTGAGCAGGCTAGAGACTGAGCCATGGGGAGCAGACAAGAACTGTCAAAAGACCTGAGTAACAAGGTAACGGAACTTTATATAGATGGAAAAGGATATAAAAAGATATCCAAATCCTCGAATATGCCGGTCAGTGCTGTTCAATCACTTATTGGATTTTAATGAGAGGAACATTTTCATCCCAAGTTTCCCCAGAGATCAGCACTCTTCAGATCACAACAGTGGTGACACCCCCACCCAAGTCCAACACCCTTATACAGCCCCCTAAGTACCTCTCCACCCCCACCAACCAACTGACAGAGCAGCAAGCCTGAATTCAGATTCCAAAGTTCAGCCCATTTCTGGCTGATTAATGATCTGTGAACTCTGATTGGACGATACCTGAAGCAAAGGTAATACTGTGTATCCAATGGAGCCTTCTCTCCAGGGAGCCAATCACAGTGAAGCCAACACCTCCCAGGCTCATCGAAGTGTAAGCTACACCTGAGGTTTGTTGGCGCCGTCCCTTCATCTCCTGAAATGAGAATAGAAGAAATAAACTCTGTCTGTGATCCGTGCCCCTCCCCCACACACACCTCAGACGTCCATCGGCTGCAAAGCCTGAAATGTGAGATTCTTGGGGGTCTCAGCGTAAAAATATATCTGTACAACGGAGAGAAAAGTCATTTCCTAGCAAGAAATAAAGCAGATTTGTCGGAGAGACGTCAGATCTGGTCTGCGGGTTTGGTGGTTATCATTGTATCGTTTTTTAGTTGATTATTTCCTCGTTTATCTTTTTATTGCTGGAAAATGAGAACAAGAAGTAATAATAATACCAATAAAAGTCGATGTGGCGAACGGCGCTCTCACCTGGAAGTGGCGGCAGATCTGCTGAGGCCCATTCTCCGATCTCTTGTGCAACTTCATAACCTCCGTGATCTCCGCTTGTCATGACTATCGCTGCCACTTCCACACTCAGACCACGGGGAACGGCCAGCCACTCGAACATGACGAAGGTGTCACTGGGGTATTCCTGTGGGGGGAGGGGATACAATGGAGGGTACATATGTTATGACAATGCCACTATCTGGGACTGATTTACCCCCCAACTCCATGAATTGCCCCCCCAGTCCAGTCCGCGACACCCTCTGCCCCCCAACACCCACACAACTGAGACATATGGCCCCTCTCCTCCCAGACACCCACACAACTTGTGGCCCTCTCCTCCCCCGACACCCACACAACTTGTGGCCTCTCCTCCCCGACACCAACACAACTTGTGGCCTCTCCTCCCCCGACACCAACACAACTTGTGGCCTCTCCTCCCCCGACACCAACACAACTTGTGGCCTCTCCTCCCCCGACACCAAACACAACTTGTGGCCTCTCCTCCCCCGACACCCACACAACTTGTGGCCTCTCTCCTCCCCGACACCCACACAACTTGTGGCCTCTCTCCCCCGACACCCACACAACTTGTGGCCTCTCCTCCCCGACACCCACACACAACTTGTGGCCTCTCCTCCCCCGACACCCACACAACTTGTGGCCTCTCCTCCCCCGACACCCACACACAACTTGTGGCCTCTCCTCCCCCGACACCCACACAACTTGTGGCCTCTCCTCCCCCGACACCCACACAACTTGTGGCCTCTCCTCCCCGACACCCACACAACTTGTGGCCCTCTCCTCCCCGACACCCACACAACTTGTGGCCATCTCCTCCCCCGACACCCACACAACTTGTGGCCCCTCTCCTCTCCCCGACACCCACACAACTTGTGGCCTCTCCTCCCCGACACCCACACAACTGAGACACATGGCCCTCTCCTCCCCCGACACCCACACAACTTGTGGCCTCTCCTCCCCGACACCCACACAACTTGTGGCCCCTCTCCTCCCCGACACCCACACAACTTGTGGCCTCTCCTCCCGACACCCACACAACTTGTGGCCCCTCTCCTCCCCGACACCCACACAACTTGTGGCCCTCTCTCTCCCCGACACCCACACAACTGAGTGGCCCCTCTCCTCCCCCGACACCCACACAACTTGTGGCCCCTCTCCTCCCCGACACCCACACAACTTGTGGCCTCTCCTCCCCGACACCCACACAACTTGACACATGGCCCCTCTCCTCCCCCGACACCCACACAACTTGTGCCCTCTCCTCCCCGACACCCACACAACAACTTGTGGCCCCTCTCTCCTCCCCGACACCCACACAACTTGTGGCCCCTCTCCTCCCCGACACCCACACAACTTGTGCCCCCTCTCCTCCCCGACACCCACACAACTTGTGGCCTCTCTCCTCCCCGACACCCACACAACTTGACACATGGCCCCTCTCCTCCCCCGACACCCACACAACTTGTGGCCTCTCTTCCCCGGCTGTGTGCGTTGTCTGTCTCCTCCCCTCAACTATATAATAATATGTTCTGGCTCCTCCCCCATCCAACTGCATTTCTGTCTCCTCCCCCATCCACCTGCATCTCTGTCTCCTCCCCATCCACCTGCATCTATGTCTCCTCCCCCAACCTCACACATGCTCTGTCTCCTCCCCCAGGCAGTAGGCATGCTCTGTCTCCCTCCCCTGGCAGTAGGCATGCTCTGTCTCCTCCCCCTGGCAGTAGGCATGCGCTGTCTCCTCCCCCTGGCAGTAGGCATGCGCTGTCTCCTCCCCCTTGCAATAGGCATGCTCGTCTCCTCCCCCAGGCAATAGGCATGCTCTGTCTCCTCCCCCAGGCAATAGGCATGCTCTGTCTCCTCCCCCCGGCAGTAGGCATGCTTTGTCTCCTCCCCCCGGCAGTAGGCATGCTCTGTCTCTTCCCCCCGGCAGTAGGCATGCTCTGTCTCCTCCCCCCGGCAGTAGGCATGCTCTCTGTCTCCTCCCCCGGCAGTAGGCATGCTCTGTCTCCTCCCCCCGGCAGTAGGCATGCTCTGTCTCCTCCCCCTGGCAGTAGGCATGCTCTTCTCTCCTCCCCAGGCAATAGGCATGCTCTGTCTCCTCCCCCTTGCAGTAGGCATGCTCTGTCTCCTCCCCCTATCAGTAGGCATGCTCTGTCTCTTCCCCCTGGCAGTAGGCATGCTCAGTCTCCTCCCCCTGGCAGTAGGCATGCTCTGTCTCCTCCCCCTTGCAGTAGGCATGCTCTGTCTCCTCCCCCCGGCAGTAGGCATGCTCTGTCTTCTCCCCCCGGCAGTAGGCATGCTCTGTCTCTTACTAAACCTCAAACCCACAAAGTTTGTGCAGTGGAGGAGCGATATGACCCCCCCGGTGTGGGCAGAGCAGTTGCTGTGATCATTCTCTTCTGGAATGTGCTCCACCTAGTGGCATCTAACCCCCTCCCACCCCACCCATCCCCCATCCAGAGCAACAAGTGTCCCTTCCTGCGGGGTAACTTCAGGACACCTGATGGGGATCTTGTTTTTAGCATCCTGCTGGGTCCCGGGGGCGAGAATCCCCGCCAATGTTCATTCCCTCAAAAAGGATTCTCCGACATCTGGATAGGTTTTGGTTTCCATATGACATGCTGGGGGCCCTCCACTGTGGAAGATGCGCCCCAAAAAATGGCAAGCAGGGACCACATGACCACGCCCCAGCATTGCATGTGGTCTCCTTGCAAGTGATCTTTTCCTCGGTACTGAGTACCATGCCAAGCTGTGCACCATGTCCACGTGTGGAGGCCGCCATCTTGGTAGAGGCAGGGTTTGTGCCAGAGCCTCCAGTGAGGAGCACAGGGGTGACATCACCAAATCTCACTCTGAATCTGGTGAAATCAGTAGTCAGGGGGCAGCAGTGCCTTAGGTGATCTCACACTGCAGATACACAGCTATGAGGATCCAGAACAGGAGTGCCTAGAGGACGGCCATTTCTCAGGAGGAATCCCAGAGAAGATCCTTCAAGGTTCTCCTGACACACAATGTCCAGATGTCCCCTTTAACATGGAGAACCTTCACTTCCTGAGTCCAGGTCCACCTTTTGGCAGAGAAACATCTGGCGCTTTGTTCTGATTATTTCAATGGCTTCCAAAAATATCACCCCCCCCCCCCCCATTCCTTGCCCCACGTTCACGCACGCCGCAGGCTCCCCACACATTGACGGCACATTCATCTCCTTCCTTCGTTCTGCAATCTCTATAGACAGAGTCCCGAGTGACACCGAGTTCGCTCACCCAAACTATTCTAACGAAAAGCGATGACTGAAACAGCGAGTGCGAAGGGCGGCCGGAGGTTTGGACGCGCTCCACGCTCCACTGCTCATGTCATTCCTGACGTTAGCATTTTGTGGTTCAGCTGTGAGCAATTCTCGCTTCCCGACTGAAACCGAAGAACCTTTTGTGTTTATTATCAGGACTTCAGCCGCCAACCTTCGTCTAAAGAGACGCCAGCATTAAAGTTGGTTCAAAGCTTTGCCAAAAAAAAAGTTCAGAAGGTTTAAGGGCTCATTGACGCTCGCGACGACTTTTATGTTTCAAGATGCTGTTTTGATGCTTTAATGAAGTTTGGCAAATGCCGTCTGTGGTGATTTTCTATCTGCTTTTAAGGGGCCCAGTAGAACCCTAAATCAGCATTTCCCCCACTCAGCAAATCCCCAGCTCATTGGTACCCTCGTTCAGCAGATCCCATGCTCAGTAGTACCTCCATCTCTGCTGATCCCCCCGATCAGTAGTACCCCCAGCTCTGCTGATCCCCCCGCTCAGTACTGATGCCCAGCTCTGCTGATCCCATGCTCAGTAGTGACCCCCAGCTCTGCTGTTCCCCCGCTCAGTAGTACCCCAGCTCTGCTGATCCCCCGCGCTCAGTAGTATTCCCAGCTCTGCTGATCCCCCCCCGCTCAGTCAGTACCCCCAGCTCTGCTGATCCCCGCTCAGTAGTACCCCCAGCTCTGCTGATCCCCCGCTCAGTAGTACCCCCAGCTCTACAGATCCCCTGCTAAGTAGTGACCCCCTTAGCTCTGCTGATCCCCCACTTAGTAGTAACCCCAGCTCTGCTGATCCCCCCGCTCAATAGTACCCCCAGCTCTGCTGATCCCCCGCTCAATAGTATCCTCAGCTCTACAGATCCCCTGCTCAGTAGTGACCCCCAGGTCTGCTGATCCCCCACTTAGTAGTAACCCCAGCTCTGCTGATCCACCACTCAGTAGTACCACCCCAGCTCTGCGCACCACACATTCAGTAATAACGTCCAACTCTGCTGAGCCCCCAGTCAGTAGTAACCCCAGCTCTGTTGATCCCCCACTCAGTAGTAACGTCAGCATTGCAGATCCGCAGCTCTGCTGATCCCCTGCTCAGTAGTAACTTCAGCTCTGCTGATCCCCCACTCAGTAGTAAACCCCAGCTCTACTGATGCCCCGCTCAGTAGTACACCCAGATTTGCAGATCCCCTGCTCAGTAGTAACCCCCAGCTCTGCTGATCCCCCACTCAGTAGTGACCCCAGCTCTGCTGATCCCCCCACTCAGTAGTAAGCCTAGCTCTGCTGATCCCCATTCAGTAGTAACCTCCAACTCTGCTGATCCCCCCACTCTCAGTAGTAGTAATCCCCCGCTCAGTAGCCAGCTCTGCTGATGCCCCGCTCAGTAGTAACCCCAGCTCTGCTGATGCCCCGCTCAGTAGTAACCCCCAGCTCTGCTGATGCCCCGCTCAATAGTAACCCCAGCTCTGCTGATGCCCCACTCAGTAGTAAGCCCCAGCTCTGCTGATCCCCCGCTCAGTAGTAACCCCCAGCTCTGCTGATCCCCCGCTCAGTAGTAAGCCTAGCTCTGCTGATCCCCCGCTCAGTAGTAACCCCCAGCTCTGCTGATCCCCCGCTCAGTAGTAAAGCCCAGCTCTGCTGACCATCCATTCAGTAGTGACCTCCAACTCTGCTGAACTCTATTTTTTTTTTTCTATTGTGTTGGTTTTGTAGTAGAGTGTAAAGAATGTCCTCAGCTACTCTCAATGAATATACAGCATTTGTGTAATATCATTTAAGGGATATCTATAATTATACTTCCTAACATTTTTTTTTAATGTTTTTTCTTATAAAAATTTAAATAATGAGTACCAAAAAAAAATTTTTTTTTTTTTTATAAGAGTAAACAGTTTTGTAGAATTTTCAGACTGAATTCTATGTCATATGAAAGTGATACAATTCAATAAAATATTTTTCAGACCCTCAGAAAACATTTAGATTATAAAGAATGTTTCTACGTCATTTGACCGTGATACGATTCAACAAATTTTCATTAATCCCCCAAAAGAAGAATTTCATTATAAAGAATGTGATAATAATAGCAAAATTATAAAAAGTTGTTTTTTTTACTATCCAGTATCCTTTTTTTTTGCAGTGATGGTTAATATTTCAGGACAAACCTAGGGGGTCTATTCCCTTCTTCTAGGCCCATTTAATGGATATCTAAAATTACACTTCCTAAACTTTTTTTTATTATTAGAAAAAATTTAAATAAGGAGTAACAAAAAAAAGCTTTTAAAAGTTTTTTTTTTTTTAGAGAGTAAACAAATTGTAGAAGTTTTCAGAATAAAATCTATATCATATGAAGTTTACTTCTTTTTTAAGTAACAATTAAGAAATTTAAAAAAATACATTTTTTTTTTGTAAATCGTAAAAAGATTGTAGAACTTTTCATAATGAATGTTATTTAATGCATATTTGGATATCATTTCACCGCGAAACAATTTAACATTTTTTTAAGCCCCTAAGAGAACATTTACATTCTGCAAAAGCTCAGGTAGTTTAGAAGTACGGGAAAACCCCAAAAATGTCATCATAGGGGTGGTGTGTGTTAATACCAGTAAAATTATAAAAAGTTTCTCTTTTATTCTTTTATCATTCATGGTCTTTTTTTTTTTTTTCTTTTTACAGTGATGGTTATTATTTCAGGACAAACATTGGGGATCTATTCCCTTCTTTTAGGTCCAATTTAATGGAAATCTATACACTTCCTAAACCTGTTTATTTTCCTATAAAATTTTAAGTAAAGAGTAACAAAAAAGATTTAAAAAGTTTTTTTTAGAGATTAAACAATTTGTAGAAAGTTTTCAGAATAAAATCTATTATCGTATGAAATGTACTTCTTTTTTTAACTTAAGTAAAGATTAAGAAATTTAAAAAAAAAACGTTTTTTTTTTTTTTTTTTTTAAAGCGTAAAAAAGTTTGTAAAATTTTTCATAATGAATTATATGTTTATTGAAATCGAAATAATTCAATGATATATTTTTCATACACTTGGAGACCTATTTATATTATATAGAATGTTTCTATATATCATTTAATTGTGATATAATTTAACATTTTATGTTTCTAAGACCCCTAAGAGAACATTTAGATTCTGCAAAGGCTCGGGTAGTTAGAAGTACGCTGGAAAACCCCTAAAAAAATGTCATCATAAAGAGTGTTAATACCAGCAAAATTATAAAAAGTTTTCTCTTTTATTCTTTTTTCCATTCCTGTTCCTTTTTTTTTTTTTTTTTTTTTTTTTGCAGTGATGGTTAATATTTCGGGTCAAACTTTGGGGCTCTATTACCTTTTTTTTTAGGTCCAATTAATGGATATCTATACTCTTCCTAAACTTGTTTATTTTTCTTATAAAAAATTTAAGTAAAGAGTAACAAAAAAAAAAAGCTTTTAAAAGATTTTTTTTTTTTTTTAAAGAGTGAACAATTTGTAGAACTTTTTCAGAAATAAAATTCTATGTCATATGAACTTGATATGATTCAATAAAATATTTTTCAGAGCCTCAGAGAACATTTAGATTACATAGAATGTTTCTATGTCAATTCATACACTTGGGACCGTGTTACAAGTAAAAAGTGAACATTTAGATTCTGCAAAGATCAAGTAGTTAGAAGTGCGGGAAAACCCTAAAATGTCATCACAAAGATCGTGAAAATGTGATAATGCTAGCAAAATTATAAAAATATATCTATTATCCATGATCCTTTTTTTTTCTTTTCTTTTTTTTCTTTTTTTTTTTTTTGCAGTGATGGTAATATTTGAGGACTTAACTTTGGGGTTCATTTCCCTTCTTTTAGGTCCAATTAATAACTCATACACAGAGGTTTAGAAACTGCCACGCCAAACCTGCACTTATTCACCAATTTTTTGCAGCAATTTTACAAACAGCAGCATTTACCGAAGTTCATTTTGAACCTTGTATAGTAATTTTGCATTAAGACTTGTTACAATGTTGCATACATTTATTTATTGTTTGTTTTTTACCCCGATTTATAAAGATTTTGATTTTTTTTTTTTTCCTTGTTTTCTTTTGCTGTTATTTCAATTTTTAAAAAAAAAGATTTTGAAATAATTTTTTTTTTTTCCTCTACTGTTTTGCTGTAAAATGTTGTTGTAGCTTCCCCAACCGTTAGGCGTAAACCCCATTGTACCCTAATTAGAAAAAACACTAAACCCCATAAATTTGACCTGATCTTGCCAAAATATTCAAATCCCATCAAGTTTCCCAATTTTAGTGAAATAATGTTCTTTTGAACATATCTCTAATAATTATCAGAGGACGTTTCTGCTGTGGACAGTCCTTCTGCCATGGAAACAATCTATATACAATCTACACACAATCTATATACAATCTACACACAATCTATATACAATCTACACACAATCTGTATACAATCTACACACAATCTATATACAATCTTACATACAATCTATATACAATCTACATACAATCTGTATACAATCTATACAATCTACACACAATCTATATACAATCTACACACAATCTATATACAATCTACACACAATCTATATACAATCTACATACAATCTCTGTATACAATCTATATACAGAATACACTGCAATAGAAGTGATATTTATCATTAGAAAAAAAAAGTCTACTAGTGTTTACCGACTCCTCCTCCTCCGTGTCCTCCAGGTCCGGGGGTCTTCACCTTCACCCAATACGTGATGTCCTTCTTGGGGGGGGTTGTACGTCCAACTCACATTGACCCTCCCCAGGCCCAGCGCCGAGATCTGAATGTCTGTGGGCGGCGGGAGTGTCCCCGCAACTTCAATAGGAAAGGAGATGATCAGTGAAGGAATTCTACTTTATATTGATAAATAAAGTGCAGCTTCTAAATACACAATCCCTGCAGTCCCTCCAATCCCTACAGTCCCCACAATCCCTACAGTCCCCACAATCCCTCCATCCAAACCATGAACTAGTACAATCCACTGCATAACATAAAGAGATACAAATATCATATCATCAGCAGGGACACACATGTTCACAATACTTCCCTAATCCCAACGGAGAAATTGTTTTCAGATTCAGAATATATACATATATAATGAGAGACAAACGGCAGTAATAAAAAAGCCGACACAGTGCGCCCCCCCAGATAGATAGATAGATAATAGATAGATAATAGATAGATAGATAGATAATAGATAGATAAATAATAGATAGATAATAGAATAGATAATAGATAGATAGAAAATAGATAGATAGATAGATAGATAGATAGATAATAGATAGATAGAATAATAGATAGATAATAGATAATAGATAGATAGAATAAATAGATAGATAGAAAATAGATAATAGATAGATAGATAGATAAAAATAGATAATAGATAAAGATAGATAGATAATAGATAGATAGATAGATAGATAGATAGATAATAGATAGATAGATAGATAGATAGATAGATAGATAGATAATAATAGATAATAATAATAGATAATAGATAGTATAGATAGATATATAGATAGATAGATAGATAGATAGAATAATAGATAGATAGATAGATAATAGATAGATAATAGATAGATAATAGATAGATAAAAAATAGATAGATAGATAATAGATAGATAGATAGATAGATAGATAGATATAGATAATAATAGATAATAATAGATAATAGATAGAAGAAAAGATAATAGATAGATAATAGATAAAAAATAGAAAAGATAATAAAAATAGATAATAGATATAAATATAATATATAGATAAAATAATAGATAGATAGATAGATAGATAGATAGAATAAAAAGATAGATAATAATAGATAGATAATAGATAATAAAATAGAATAGATAGATAAAAATAGATAATAGATAATAAATAATAGATAGATAGATAATAGATAGATAGAATAGATAGATAATAGATAGATAGATAATAGATAGATAGATAGATAGAGATAATAGATAGATAGATAGATAGATAGATCAAAGATAAAAAGATAGATAATAGATAGATAGAAAAGATAGATAGATAATAGATAGAAATAGATAAATAAATAGATAATAAAGATAGATAGATAGATAGATAGCTAGATAGATAGATAATAGATAGATAGATAGATAGATAGATAGATAATAGATAGATAGATAATAATAGATAATAATAGATAGATAAAAGATAATAGATAGATAATAGATAGATAATAGATAGATAGATAGATAGATAATATATAGATAATAGATAATAGATAGATAGATAGAAAGATAGATAGATAGATAGATAGAAATAGATAGATAGATAGATAGATAGATAGATAGATAGATAGATAGATAGATAGATAGATAAAGATAATAGATAGATAGATAGAGAAGATAAATAATAGATAATAGATAGATAGATAGATAGATAGATAGATAGATAGATAGATAGATAGATAATAGATAGATAGATAGATAAATAGATAGATAGATAATAGATAGATAGATAGATAGATAATAGATAGATAGATAGATAGATAGATAGATAATAGAAAGATAGATAGATAGATAGATAATAGATAATAGATAGATAGATAGATATAGATAGATAGATAGATAGATAGATAATAGATAGATAGATAGATAAATAAAGATAGATAGATAGATAGAAAATAGAAGAAATAGATAGATAGTGAAATAGATAAAATAATAATAGATAAATAGATATAATAATAGAAGATAGATAAGAATAATAGATAGATAGATAGAAAATAGATAGATAAAATAGATAATAGATATATAAATAGATAGATAAATAATAAAATAATAATAGATAGATTAGATAGATAGATAGATAGATAGATAGATAAAATAGATAGATAGATAATAAAGATAAATAGATAGATAGATAGAAAAGATAGAATAAAATAGATAAATATTAATAATAAAATAGATAATAAATATTTAGATAGATAATAAAGATAGATAGATAATAGATAGATAATAGATAGATAGATACAAAGATAGATAATAGATAGATAGATAATAAAAATAGATAGATAAAATAGATAGATAATAGAAATAGATAATAGATAGATAGATAATAGATAGATAGATAAAATAATAGATAGATAGAAAGATAGATAGATAAAAAATAGATAGATAGATAATAGAAAAAAAGATAAGATAATAGATAATAGAAAAAGAAAAATAGATAAGAAATAATAAATAATAGAAAGATAATAGATAGATAGATAGATAGATAGAAAAATAGATAGATAGATAATAGATAATAGATAGATAAAAAAATAATAGATAGATAGATAATAGATAGATAGATAGATAGTAGATAATAAGATAATAGATAGATAGATAGATAATAATAGATAGATAGATAGATAGATAGATAGATAATAGATAGATAGATAATAGATAGATAAAGATAGATAATAGATAGATAGATAGATAGATAGATAGATAGATAGATAGATAGATAATAGATAAGATAGATAATATAGATAGATAATAGATAGATAGATAATAGACATGATTGTAGAAGAGATGACATCACACATGACATGTATACGGTATATTACTCACCGTACGCAGCACAGCCTAGTAGGAGTAGAATGTTCCGCTCTCCCGCCATGACCGGCTCCTCATACAGACAACACGATTCTCAGAACTTACAACTTTGTGCCGCCTGACAGGAAAACACAGAGAGATCGTCATACGTGGAGGGGAGGGGGGGGGGGGGGTGACACCACAGGAAACGTCCAACCATTCACCTGAATCCCCAGACCACAACAAGGCTTCATATAGAACAATCTACGGGGGGGAGGGCCCGGGGGGGCCAACAGGAAGATGCTGAATCCTCACTGATGTCTGATGTATGTGCCTCTGGATGGATGGATGGATGGATGGTTAGGAGGACACACATTGGATCTGGAGTTGGGCTTTAAAGAAAGAAAATTATTTCCATATACATATGTTATATGGGCAGTGTTTCTCAACTCCAGTCCTCATGGACCCCAACAGGTCATGTTTTCAGGATTTCCCCTCAGATGAAACAGCTGTGGTAATTACTAAGGCAGTGAAACTGATCAAATCACCTGTGCAAAATAATGGAAATCCTGAAAACATGACCTGTTGGGGGTCCATGAGGACTGGAGTTGAGAAACACTGTGTTATGGTCTCAGGTGCCCCCTTGTATCAGGTGTCCCCATCAGAGTGCCCCCTTACATCAAACTGTCCCCATCAGAGCCCCCCTTACATCACCTGCCCCCATCAGAGCCCCCCTTACATCAACTGTCCCCATCAAAGTGCCCCCCTTACATCAACTGTCCCCATCAGAGCCCCCCTTACATCAACTGTCCCCCATCAGAGCCCCCCTTGCATCAAACTGTCCCCCATCAAAAAAGTGCCCCCCTTACATCACCTGCCCCCATCAGAGTGCCTCTTACATCAGGTGTCCCCCATCAGACTGGCTCATAGATCAGTGGATTCACTCTAAGACCTGGGGGGAGGGGGGGAAAGCTGGAATCTGGAGGGGGCACCACCCACCCACCCCAGCCCCCCCTAGATCCAGGATTGCTCCCCACCCCATGTCCCGGGCCTGGATGTGGGTAATTCGATGAGCTGCTCACCTTCAGCAGTGGCAGTGACTGGCTCCATCACCCCCCATCCGTGAGTCCAGCTGCTGCATGTGTAGGTAGGTGGGCACACTCTGCGTTCGCTGCGTTCCAGCCCGGCCCAGGGACCGTCCGCAGGACAGGGAGGATCCGGATCAGCTGCCAGAACTCAGAGCTGCCAATATCCTCCACGGCAGCCAGAGAGCGACGCTGATTCCACGGAAACATCCTCGCTGCAGCCCGCTCCTCCTACCGCGCACTTGTCACAGCTCGCCGCCATCCCGCCACGACATCGATGACCTAATCAGCCTAAAATCGCAAACAACTGGCGTCCTGCGCAGCCGGGAATTCCCCCGAATACAGGAATCCAGATGTTTCCAATCTGCAGCGAAGTGAATGAAGACGAAGCAACCGAAAAAAAAAAAAGAGGAGGACGGGGGGGGGGGGGGAGCTCGTTGAGTCGTACTTCTCTTGCGGGTCACGGGGGTGCACTTACTTTTGCTGTCCTGCGACCCAGAGTCAGTTGATAGTGGGCTGTCGCCGGCTGGCAACTGATCTGGAAGGATCCTGACAATATTGTCACAATCCACCTGGCTGCCTGACAGCTGGCTCCACCTCCCAGCGCCTGCTGCTTGCTGCCCCCTTCTTCTGCCCCGGCTCCGCAGTGACTGACTGCACTTACCAATAAAAACTTTCCAGCGGTCAGCTGACCCATCAATCAGTCTGAGTCATGTGACCAGAATCACGGTTCTCGTTTTTCACTCTCTGAGCCCATGGGGGCAGATTTTATGCTACTATACCCTTAAAAAGCACTAACCTCCAACGCTCGTTTTTCACGGCTATCAGCGCTGGGTGTAAACGACAAGGGGTCAGAACCCCCGTGCAGACAAATTTTATTTTTGCGTACTATTAGAACTGTTTGCTAAAGCTTCCTAACCCTTCCAATTGCCTACACCGGCCCTTCGCAAAAGCCCCCTTCCCCTGCTATCAGCGCTGTCGCACACTGTAAACGACAATTGCAGTGACTCCCGCGGCACCTGTGGATAAATGCAGACAGCTGCGCCCATAAAGACATTATTTTATCTGCTTTTTTTTTTTCACTCAAATAGATACAGCTTCTTTCTTCGAGTCAACAGCTTCAGAACATGCTTCTTGGCGCCGCCCTATAGTGAAGAGCAACCGCTAACAAAAAACGTTGCGACCTTCCTTACACCGAGTGCGCAAACGCCAAAAAGCACCAATTAACTGACCCTACTCCCTCCCGCGCCGTCATTGACATCTCCAAAAGCCTCGGCTGTCAATCACCGGGTCCCCCGGCCAGTGACTCCCCGCCGGCACCTGGTGGGATGATCAACCATTCCTAGAAAAGACCAGCACAGATCTCCCCTCCTGCCAGCGAGGACATTTGCTGCTTTGTATCTCAGCACAGCATGGCTCCCGAGTAACACAGCACACAGGTAGACCCCTTGTTTCCCCTGAAATCACCTCCTGTTACACCTGCCTTTACTGCTTTGTATAACAAAAAGTCAAAAATATTGTTTTTCTGTATAGCAGCATGGTGTACTTTTGTGAAACGCACAACACAATCAGTAACCACAACCCTTTGATCTCCTTCCTTCAAACCCCTTCCCTGCTCAGTGCCATTAAGTACACCACCACACATGATCAAATACCACCCAACAAGTGTCAGAGCGGCTTTTTATTAGTACTGACCACTGTATTGCAAAAAATGGAACGGGGGATGTCTGTGACACCAAGGGTAATCCTCTGGAGCCCACAATCCCCCCCGCCCCCCACCTCCAGGAGGAGGGGGGATTTTGTCAGAATAGGCCCCCGCTCAAGCAAGTCCCGCTAAAAAAACTTAAAAAAAGTCGACCAAAACGCCATCCATTTTACTAGTAACTAAAAAAAAAAAAATCCCCAGTTTATCTATCCCGCCATTTGTAGTCACGATCTAAACTTTCACATGAACCAATTCATTTTTTTTTTAGCGAAGACAACGGAAGCGGGAGACATTTTGGCCGAAATTTATGACATTTGATTTGTTACATTTTTTACTCACATTTGTTTGGAAAATCCGTGTTTTAATAACAAAAAGTCAAAAAATATTGTTTTTTTTTTTTATTTCCTCACCTCAAAATTGTCGGTCTCTTTTAGTTTACCAGCGCAAAAAAAAAATTTAAAACCCATTCACAAATGATCAAATACCACCGAAAGAAATCTATTTTGTGGGGAATAAGGATGTAAATTTAATTTAGGTGCAGCGCTGCACGACCGCTGCCGCAATTGTCAGTTAAAGTAACGCAGAGCGCTGTAATGCAAAAAATTGGAACGGGGGGAAACCTCTGGAGGAGGAGGGGGGGGGGGAATCCTCTGGAGGAGGGGGGGGGGGGGGGAGGAATCCTCTGGAGGAGGGGGGGGGGAATCAACTCTGGAGGAGGAGGGGGGAAGGCAAAACCTAAGCTTTTTAAACTTAAAAAACAACTAAAGGCAAAACATTTTGTTTTAGTGTTGGATGGAGGGGGGAGGAGGAGGAGACCTCCTGTCAGGTTTTTGTTGCTGTCTGTGTCCCCACTGGGGAGATTCCCCCTCTGTGTCCCTGCTGGGGAGATTCCTCCTCTGTGTCCCCGCTAGGGAGATTCCTCCTCTGTGTCACTATTAGGGAGATTCTCCCTCAGTGTCCCCATTAAGGAGATTCTCCCTCTGTGTCCCTGCTGGGGAGATTCCCCTTCTGTGTCCCTGCTGGAGAGATTCCCCTTCTGTGTCCCCGCTGGGGAGATTCCTCCTCTGTGTCCCCGCTGGGGAGATTCCCCCTCTGTGTCCCCGCTGTGGAAATTCACCCTCTGTGTCCCCGCTGGGGAGATTCCCCTTCTGTGTCCCCACTGGGGAGATTCGCCCTCTGTGTCCCCGCTGGGGAGATTCGCCCTCTGTGTCCCTGCTGGGGAGATTCCCCCTCTGTGTCCCTGCTGGGGAGATTGGCCTTCTCTGTTTGTTCTGGTGACTACTGACATCAATGATGGAGAATGTTACAGTTGTCACCACAGCAAGAGCAGAGGAGAGATCTTCCAATGGGGACACCTGTTCCAGTGACGGGAAATCACCCCAACAGACAGCCAAATCCACGAATCCTGACACTGGGGGGATTTATTTCCACTTCCTGTCCTGTATATACAACAGGAAGTCAGGACAGGAGGAAATCCTCCAAAATGAGGGCAAGGCCCCCCCCCCCCCCCCCCCCACAGATGGCTGTCCCTGGAACCAGTGACCCCGCCGCAAGATTTTCCCTCTAGTCTTGTTTTTGTGACAACTTTTGGATTTTCATGATTTTCAAAGATAATCAGAACGAATCTCCCGAGCGGGGACACAGGTGGGAGAACAGGCGGGAGAACAGGCGGGGACACAGGCGGGAGAACAGGCGGGGACACAGGTGGGTGAACAGGCGGGGACACAGGTGGGCGAAAAGGCGGGGACACAGGTGGGCGAAAAGGCGGGGACACAGGTGGGCGAACAGGCGGGGACACAGGCGGGAGAACAGGCGGGGACACAGGTGGGCGAACAGGCGGGGACACAGGTGGGCGAACAGGCGGGGACACAGGTGGGAGAACAGGCGGGGGACACAGGTGGGTGAAAAGGCGGGGACACAGGTGGGCGAAAAGGCGGGGACACAGGTGGAGAACAGGCGGGGACACAGGTGGGCGAACAGGCGGGGACACAGGCGGGCGAACAGGGGGACACAGGTGGGAGAACAGGTGGGGAACAGGCGGGGACACAGGCGGGAGAACAGGCGGGGACACAGGCGGGGACACAGGCGGGAGAACAGGCGGGGACACAGGCGGGGACAAAGGCGGGAGAACAGGCGGGGACACAGGCGGGCGAACTGACGGGTTCTACCCTCTCATCCCCCAACCCAAAAAAAAAAGCTGAAATTTCAGATGAATATTAAATACATTTTTACACCCAGAAAAACATCCAGAGACAAAACTCGCCCGGGGCAGAGCCGGACACCCTACCGGGAAAT